CTCGCAGCCCATCCTGGAGATATGAAAGGGGCAGGTGTGTCGCAGCAAGTTCCAAACTTCGGCCAAGCCCTGCTCTCTCACCCCCGGCTTCTCAGTTTCAGCCCTGTTCTGAGCAGCGCTCGGTGTCAACACACCAAATACTACAAATCCGTCTCAGGATGGCATGAAACGGAAGGCAAACCAGTATTTTTGGGAATTACCAAGTCGCCTCTTTTGCAAGGAAAGGGAAAACAAGATACTTGGAGACTGATGGCAAAGTCCTGGGCTGAAGGTGCAAGCCGTCAGTGGCACTGCTCTCTCCTACGTCTCCCAAAACCACAGGGGAAGTTAGGCTCGCTTTCCGTGCTACATACATATTAAGACCAGACGCTCGCTGAAGGCAAAACACAGCACCAGCAGCCGGCTTCAGAGCTGCACTAAGTGCTAGCAGAGCGTGAGACATGGCGCGTGGCCACCCAGGCCGCTGCGCCGTCATCGCTGTGGGTGCCCAGCAGGGACCCCACTGCCCCTCACCGTGCCCCAGGAGCACCCTGGGTGCACCAGGAGCACCCCGCTGCTTACTCAAGCAGCAGTTCCTGTTTCCCTCTGGCTGTTCCGAAATCGTACTCGCCCGCTTCGTAACCCAGCCCTCAGAGATCAGAGCTGTGGCTAGTGGACGACCTCTTCGCACTTTTTTAAAGAGGGAAAGACAACAAGGGAAGCTTACAGAGAGCGTCGAAGAGCAGAGGGGAACAGGAGCAAAAGTGCAGAAGAGAGAGCGTGCTCTGGGTGATCTCAGCAGGGAACCAGGGTAGAACAACAAAGCTCACCCAGAAAGGAAGGAAACGGCAGAGAGAGGAAAGACGTGAAGGGGAAATGGAGCAAACGAGCTTCATGAAAAGCACATTAAAAAGGCCATCAACAAAGAAAAAGATGAAAAGGAGGGTGACAAAGAACAATAAGCACTACAGGCATTTCAAGTTATTTCGTTTTTTTTAATCAATTGAAATTTGATGCCAAAATATTATGTAAAACCACATGGTTATACCTTTATTATCAGGAGCAAGCAAAGAAGCAAATGAGGACTAGAAACTGGGGATGTATACAAATGAAAGTTGAGTATGTTGTATACAGTCACACAGTATACAAAGAAAAACCTTTCCCTTCTCTATCCCTCTACATCTATCTAGTGCTGTTTTCTCTTCCACTAACTTTTTTTCTAGTTTTCTGCAGACTTCTTAGTTACACTTGATTGCTACACTTCCCTCCCCTTTTCTGAGTTTTCAGACATCTTGTAAACTAGAGTCTAACCAAAACAAAAAAGTGCTGAGATAAAAATTAAGGTAAATAAAACCGGATTATAGACCAAAAGTTTCCAACAAACATCAAAGTAATTAACTAGTAGACTACCTGAGGGGGGAGGGGGAATCTAAAACAGGTTATAAAATTATTGTCTTAGTTTTACTTGCAAAATTTTTGTGTTCAATTTTGAACTGAAAGTCTCCTTAATACTTTCTCTCGAATGTTAAACAGGTTCAGAACTTCTGAGCAAAGTAGCTTTGTAGCACTGGAAACACTTATTAGAAAGGGATATATTTTAAACAATTTAATTCCCACTACACATACAAAGATGAAAAAAGTAGTGAAATTACTTTCCTCCCCATGTACAGCATATCACTTTTAGTTCTGTATGTATCTTTACTCCTGTAGGACAATGGAACAAGACTTGGAAGCTAACACCTATATGAGAAAAACACTTGAAAGATTAGAGGATGCACCACTTGTTGTGTCCTCACTTTAGTACTAAAACATTCACTGTGAAATAAAAGCTTTTCTGATTTTATGTTAAATGTTTTGCATTCGAATACAATAGGCAAAAGAGCATTGTCTTGTCCTCCATTTTGCATAGGTACTCAAAGGGTTACATACAGTCTTACAGGGAAAGATAGGCAAGTGACTATGTAAAAATAACCATCTACAAATATTTCAACCAACTATTAATTACGTTCAATGCTATTTACTATCCCTTTGTTATATTTGAATTGAAGTAGAAGCTTCTGAAATATTCAGCTTCTACAGAGTATCCAGAAAACATGAGAGATGAAACTCAACTCCTGGTTAAGTGGCTTCTCTCTACAAAGCAAAATGTATAGAAAGATCCCTATAGAAGCCCCTAAATTCACCAGCAGTGTCAAAAAATTCATGTCAGTCAGTCTTGTACACACAAGAAAACACAAGGTTCTGCACTTCTGCTAACAGGAAGGGTGAGGTCTGGCAGCAGACAGACATTGGGAGTCACTGGCTCTGTGCTCTAAGGGTAGCACAGCACTTGACCTCTAAACTTCAAAATCTGCAGATCAGACTCACTCAGATGTGAGGGAAGCCATGTGCTTTTCAAAAAAGAAA